AAATAACCAGATATGCACAGTATTAAAGATGAGCCATGAAAATACTAGTTGAAATTTATTTAATCCACCACTGCCTCATGGGTTCTGATTGTGAATTGAAAAGAAAAACCCCAATCATGTACAATTATTTTCCATGTCACTGAGATTGGGTCTAATCCACTGAGAATAAGGGGTAATTATTTTTAATAATAAGGACAAACAAAAATCAGAGGTGTTTTACTTACTAATTAAAACTCTTCCCTTAATTTAAAAGTAAATGTATCCAGAAGTTCTGAACTTAGTTTTGAATACATTCTACCTCCAGGACAAAGACCAGCTTTATAGCCTAAGACACCAGCAATGCAAAATTTTAAAGAAGGCATGACAGCTCAGTATTATTTAACTGGCTTCTTATAAGCAGTTCATTCCCCCATCTCTCTTGCTTAGAGTTTTGCAGGATTCTGACCTCATGGGGAACTTCCTCAGAATACATTATAAAGCTATCCTAAGTCCTTTTCCTGATTAACAATCATCCTGCAATGGAAAAAGAAATCCAGAAGCATACCTCACCTGTACATGCTTTCGTTTGACAGAAAAGATGACTCCACAGACCGAGACCTCTGCTGCTGAAGCCCCAAACTCGGAGGACGAGCATCAGATGAGGAGGATGATGGCAAAGCGGGCAAAAATCATCAGAGAACTGGTCCAGACAGAAAAGGATTATCTCACTGATCTAGAGCTGTGCATTCGGGAAGTGGTCCAGCCCCTGAGAAATAAACAGGTAAATGCAAGTGTGAGGCTATTTTTACTTCTCAGTTGTTTAGTCCCCTCCTATATCCTAAACAGGATTACCAGCACCAGGAAATTGAAGCATCCAGGTATCCCAGTGGTGTGATGCGTTTTTCTCCCAGATTCTCCAGGCCTGGATTCACACAACATGTCATCAGACTTATGTATTGGGTCAGTAGAAAGAAACCAGTGTCCCTCCACTTGGCCAAATAAACTGTATTCTAAAATCTGGGGCAAAGTAAATTCACAGATTTTGCCACTTGGAAATTTCTAACATGTTCTTCCTTGGATTCCCAGTAACAAAGTTTTCTTTTTGGCAGAGTAGGAACAAGGCCTTAATTCAATGATGATTGTGGATGCAAAAGTAGAAAAATATGTGACTGTTTTCCTCCCACATGGAGAGCTCAATGAAACCTATGACTATTTAGCTGAGTACAATTCAATATGGAGGTTAAATTGAACATAAGTAAAACTGTTATCTTTGATAGGACTCGCCCCAGACAGAACTTAAAATGTTTATAAGTTAATCAAGCCCTTTTAAGGCAATTTTTTAATAGAGAATTAGAATAAAGGTACAAGGATGTTTGGTAAAGATACACAAACATACAGCTGTTTCCTTTATTCAACACATTATTAAGTACCTGGTATGAGATTAGCACTATTCTTAGCACTAGGGTTACAGTTTAGTACCAAACAAAGTTTCCCCTTGTGGGGTTTCCTTTCTAGTGCAGGAAGGGAGCAATTAGCAATACCATGAAAACATACTAGTACAGCTGAGGAACTAATGCCGAGAAAAGGAATAGAATGTGGTAACAAAGGGGTGATTGTTCTATTTCAAACAGAGAGGTAAATATAGACTTTTCTAGTGAGGGACATCTGAGCAGAGAACTGAAGGTGGTAACAGAATGCCCAGGCAAAGCCAAGAACAAGAGCAAAGAATCTACAGAATGATAATCTCATCACTAGGGTTGTACGTGGTCCTCAGACACAATACAAACAGTACAGAAAAGCAGAATCTAGAAAGTGAAAATGAGCAGAAATTCTACTACTCAAATTACATCAACAAGGTTGGAATATCTCTTCAGACATCTAGTTGAACTTCTACATATACACATACAAGCATATGTATTTTTATATAAATATGATCAAAATTACATATTATCTTATGCCACACTTTGTTTTATTCAGCAATATGTTATATGTATCTTTCATGACTCCTACTTTTAAATGTTTTCCTACTATTAATGATGGTGAGATGTACTTTTCTTTGGGGTATTCATCCCCTTACTCCTTAGAATAAATTTCTAAAAATAAAATTACTAGGTTATACAGTAGGCATATTTAAGCTTCTGAGCAAAATCTCCAACTACCAACAAGAAAGGCAAGACTATTTTAATTTTCATTCCTTTGAAAAGTGATTGAGATGGCATTTTCTCTGCCATCCTCTTTAAGGCTGAACATTGTTAATTTTATAAACATTCCCTTGATTCCTTCTGACAAATATCTTCTTGTATTTTCATTAGCCCTTTGTACTCTTTTCAAATTCTGTTCATATTTATGTTTTCTGCCCTTTCTAAAAATTATACTTTTTCTATTTCTGATTATTTAATAAGGCCTTTTTGTACATTAGGATATATTTTTTCTACCCTACATGTTGCAATAACTTTCCTAGTCTTTTGCATTTTAGACTTAAGATGTACATATATTTTTCTTTGTGTTTAAGTAATCAAATATATCCAACTTTACGGATTCTGGGTTTAAGATCTTAAAATGTGCTCCATGATTATAAAAGTACTGCTAGCCAGTTGTCTGAACACCAATTATTGAATTTTCCCACCAGTGCTTACAACATTCAGAAGCAGAGTTTATATTTCTTAATACAGGATTCTTAGAAATACAGAACCTCTGTAAGTTGACCACTCAAGGCACTGTAACCAACTGGTCAATATACAGAGATGGTCAACATAAGGAACGAAGCCTACTGTACCGATATGTACATGTGGC